GCCTGCGCGGGGCTGCGCGGGGCTCCGGGCTCCGGGGGGCCATGCGCCGGGCGGCGCCGGCAGCCCGGGGACCCGGCGCAACTTGCCCGGCATCCTGAGGAGTTGGGGTGGCCGCGGGCTCGGCGCCGCGGCGCCCGGCAGCCTTTCTTCCTCTCCGCCAGACGCCCCCCCATCCTTTTGGGCCGTGGGGAAGGGGGCTCCCGTTCCCCCTCCCGGGAGGCCCGGTCGGCCCCCGCCCGCTCTCGCCCCGGCGGAGCCGCGCAACTTCCCAGGAGCCGGGGCCAAAGTGAGCGCAAAGTGCTGCTCAAGTTGCCGGGATGGAGCTTCAGAGCCGGCCCGAGGCGCTCGCCGTGGAACTCGCGCGCCACCAGGTAGGCGGCCGGGGGCCCCAGGCCGGGGTGGGGGGCTCAAGGGACCCGAGCCCGGCGTCCTGATCCTTGTCGCAGGCTCTGCCTGACTGGAAGTGCCTGGAGGGGGCTTCTCCTTGGAGCCTGCCCCGAGGGTTGGAGAAATGGGCACATGCAGGACCCCTCTCTGGGCTCCCCCTCTACCCTTCTCTCGTTTCTCTCGTGCAATCCTTCACAGTTTTTTTGTTTTTTGTTTTTTTTGGAGGGGGCGTCGGGGCCGGTGGAACCCGAGTCCGGCGTCTTCTTTCTCCACGCCGGGTCTGCACACGGAGGGCGCCGGGGGGGGGGCCCTTCGTGAGCCAGCCCCAGGGTGTGTGCGCGTGTGCGCGCCGACCCCCCGTGGCCCCCACCGCTTTGCAATCCTGCACAGTTTGCAAAAGTAGTTTTGGCGATTCCTGCTCGGCTAGCAGCGGCGTCACGGCCGGAGCCCGAGCGGTATTGCGGCGTGCGCGCGTGTGTGTGTGTTGGGGAGATTAGGACGCGACTTGAATATTTATGAGCTTTGCTCGACACGGACTCGCCGTGTTTACTTGGCTCTTTGTTCCTCCCCCCTCCCCCGGCACACACTCACACTCACACTCACTCGCACACGCACCCCGGCCTGCAAACTTGCACGGCTCGGGGCGCGCCGCCGGGTGGCCTCGGCCCCCGCCCCGCCCCGTGAGCTGCCCCGATGAGGCGGCAGCCACAGGTAAGCGGCCCCGCGNCAGTTCTGGGCCGTCGTGGCTTCATGATCTTAACTCTTACGCTGAGTGTGTGGGGGAGAGATGACAGCACTTTATACCATGGATGTCAAAACTTTGGTGTCTTGCAACTCCAGGACACGCGATGAGATAAAAGTCGGCGCCTCAGAGACGACCACCGGCAGACTGGTAGCTGTTCCGTGACAGTGAGTAGGAATTTCACTCTGAAGTCAAAGGTCCTAGAACTCTCGAGGGGGTCTGGGTCTGTACCCAGTCTCTGCACCTCCCAGAAGGCTGCCTGCTGGCTGGCACCTGGGTGGGGAGAGTGCGGCTGGCTGTGTGTGGGGCAGGGCCTCTGCAGTGTAGGAGCCAAGGCAGCGGCAGGTGGGAGATTTGGAGGGACCCTAGAGCAAATTCTCCCCGCCGTTCTGTGAAGAGCCCCCGGGTCTGTCAGCCCACGTTGGCCTGAGCCCCCTCTGGCATGGCTGCCACTCTTATATTAGTCGTTGCTATTTTACACTTTAAGGTGGCGGCATCTTCTCACTTTGAAATGGCCTCTGTTCTCCAAAGGAAACCAGTATGCGTCCTTAAGATTGTTTTTTATTGGCAGTTACTTATTGTTTGATAGTAGGGTTTCCAGCGTGCAATGAGAAATCGCTGATGCAGCTTCGTTCTGCTTTCAGCCTCTGCTGCCCATGGCGGGCGTCCTGTAACACCTCAGAGGCAGGCGTCCCTGACGGCCTCAGATGGGCTGCCCTTTTTTTTTTTTTGCTTGACACCTGTATTGGTCTGGTTAAAGCACAGCAGAAGGAAGTACATCCATGGGGAGTTTTAATTTGTTTGTGCAGGGGTGAGTGGCACCCTCAGCCCCCAGGTGATGGAGGACGGGGAGATGGCTGGGTCCTTATTTCAGGGTGCGCGAGCGCTGCTGCCCAGGGTGGGTCGCCCTGAGGGTTCATGAGGACGCGTGCCCGACAAACTGCAGGGCAGCTGAGTGGGAGGGGAGCTGTTGTCAGTCTTACTTTATTAACAAGAATACGAGAAACAGAAAGCTGGCCATGCCCCGGAGACGTATTGCCGTGGAGAAGTAGACAGGCATCTGTAGCTTTCTGACGGGATGGAAACCTCGGGGCTGCTGTTTCTCTCCATGGACTGGTGTGTCCACCGCTGGGATTGGGCCCTACACCTGGGATTTGGTGGAAAGTAAGGGCATATGTTCCCCCGACTGGGCCTGGTGGCTTAAAGCACAGCCTGTGAGAGGCACGGGGTCTTTGCAGGGCACCTTTGCCAAGCTCCCTTCTTACCGGTGGGAAATTATGGCCCTGAGCGGGGGACGGGGATAACACCCAGGAAACCCCAGGAGCCCCAGGGGACTCTGGTCTCCTGACCACACATGACAGCCACACAAGAAAGAAGCCTGTTGTTTTTGTTTAAGCAATTACATTCTGTTCACGAGCGTTTTCTTTCAGAAGCTGCTTGCCCAGGAGGGCGTCCCCTGCGTGGGACGCGCTGCTGGAGTCCTACACAAGATGTCCTCGTGTGGCAACAGGGCCATCAAGAAAGGACCCTGGGGCAGCACCCTAGAGGTTTTCAGAGCGGCTGTGAGGCTTTCAGGGCAGTTGACTTCCAACGTGCACAGGCGACTTCGGCAGGCCCCAGTGTGTTCCGGAACGCCCGTCTTAGGAAACTTACTAAATCAAGTTGACTGGAGATCTCGAGGTGCAGGTTCATTCCAGGAAGACAGGGCTGCTTGTCACGCTGCCCGCCTGCCGCGTTCCTGCTCTCAGCATACACATGGGGTGGGGGCGTCACCCTCCAAAATAGAAAAGGTGCTAAAAGATGGTAATTGGGGAGCGGGTCATCTTTAGGGGAAATGACTGCCTTTTAATCTTCTGAGTGGAGGTGGCAGCAAGTTACTGGAAATGGCAGATGGAGGTCTGTTGGGGCCTCCCTGGGGGTCGCCAGCAGGCTGCCCAGGGGTGATGCTGTCATCAGTTTGGGGAGAAGCTTTTTGCTCCAGNGGGGGTCGGGGCTGTGGAGAGAAAGATGGCTGTTCCCGCGGGTCTGCGCCCGGTCGGGGGCGCCCGGCTGGACGGGAGGGTTGGGACGAACGCGTTAACCCCTTTCTGCCGGCGCTGCGGCCCCCTCCCCGGCCGCGCGCGCCCGCGTGGCCCGCGCCCCCGTCCTGGAGTGGAAGCTTCCATTCCCGCCGGAGGGGGGCCCGGCGCGCGGCCCCGGCGAAGTCGGGGAGTTCGCGGGGGGAGGGGACCGAGGCCCCGCATTACCATTTTGATTGCTTTGATGCCATTTTTGGAGGGGGGAGGGGTTGGAAACCCTTGTCAGCTGAGCACAAAGATGTTTAATCACCGTGTAGAATCAAATCAGATACTTTCTTTAAAAAAAAAAAAACACCAAAAAAAAACAACCCCACGAAATCTGGTTCAGTGTGATAGCTGAGGGTTACTAAGCCCTTTTTTCACTGGGTAAAACGGCAAGTTGTTGACTCTTATGCACCGAGTAGAAGATTCAAAAGAGAGAAAGAGAGAGAAGCCAGCAACCCCGCCGCTTTTATTGCAACAATGTCTCTTTATGTGTGTGCTTCTGTGTGGCAATAGTTTTACTATTCGGAGTGGCTTTTCAGAGCTTAGATTTGAGCATTTCTTCTGTATTGTAGCAACTATTTCAAGGCTGTTTAAATTTTTATGATGATAGTAAATGAGTAGCTATTTATTATCTGTCATGCCGGAATTTAGATGAGGCTGAGAGAAACATTGGAAAATCCTGTTTGAAGGCTGCGGTGCAGCCTCGGGAAGGAGCTGTCCGATTCCAGGCTGCCTCTGCTTTTAAATTCGAATCGGGGAAGGATGCTTGTGAACAGCACCGCACGTACCTCCATCTTTGTGTGTGTGTGTGTGTGTGTGTGTGTGTGTGTGTGTGTGTGTGTGTGTGTGTGTGTTTAAAAAGAAAGACAGCAAGGAAAACTTTTGTTCTCTGGCCTTTTCAAAATGTTTCTCTTTTAAATGACTAAAAATAACATCTGGTAAGCAGCCAGGGTTTGGCCTGGCCATCGGAACTTGGGTTTGTAACTGTAAGTATGTTGTTTTTCCTTTTCTCTTTGTGGCATTTTATATAACAAGGGCTCATAAAAGAGGGCGGGGAGGGGGCTGAGGCCGTGGTGCAGCATGCTAATAGAGCTGCCTTGTCACTCCCAAGCTCGGGAGGTGAAATCTTTCAGAGGTCACCTAAGAAATGAGTTGAGTAGACTTAACATTTACTTGCTTCACTCTCCTTGGGAGAGTTTGGTGGTAATTGACAGCTTGGCAGGGGAAAGGTCGATGAACTAGCTCTTGGAGGTGATTCTGGGCTGTACCCCGGGTCTTGAAGAGGAGCAGTGGGGCTCTGCTGGGTCACCCCAGAACCTGCCCAGGAGGAGCTGAAATGTGGGATCAGGGATGAAAAAGCCAGTATCTCAGAGTTTGTGTTTGATTCAACATAAAATTAAAGGTAGTGTTCGTTTATAGGTTTGCTTAGGGAGAATCTCATGCCACCTGCACCTACAGAGATGTGTTTTTGTGCTTCTCCCGCTTGGAATATGGGATGTAAAAGTTAAGTTTCAATTAAAAGTGCACGAGTGGATGATGAACTAGAGAGTAAAATGAACACATGACCCCATTATCCACATCTGTTAGAAATACAATAGCAGCAGAGTAATCTCTCTTGGTGTGCAGCCATCAAGTTCCCATTCATGCCCTTGGCACTGGGATTTTTTCAGTTACTTCTAGAAGCATGAACAAGTATCTAAAGATGTTTATCGAGCACTCCTAGAAGTAAATAGGTTGGTTGTTGGTCTAAAGTAGACACCTACAGGTTCCTTTATAACGCCCCAATGTTTATCCCGCCATTGGTGGACTAGGGAATAAGCAGGAAACCAGTTCCTATGGGACCTTGCTATTTGAAAAACAGAGTTCCTATTTTCCCTTTGAAAAAAGAAGGCGGCGTGGAGAGTTGGTCGGAGCTGAGCTGTGGTCCAGCCAAAGCGGCCAGGCTGCGTTCCCAGGTGTGGCTGCGCCTGGCTGCTGGGTTGTGATTGCGGTGGAGCCAGGACCCCTCTTCTTAACGAGATATGATGTGTGAAGACTCCATTAGTTGCTCCAGTGGTTTTACGCCATGAATTTGCAGTACACGCAGAGAAGCAGTAACATTTTTATCTAAATTGTCAAGCAACAAGCACTTCTGTGTAAATAACAAACCCATCATAAACACTAGAGGGTGTTTTTTTTTCCCCTCCTTCTTTGGAGTTCTCAGCACAACACTTGGCTGCCACGTATAGTGGGCATCTCCAGACATGAACTTGACGCAAGTTCAGCGTCATCATAGAGAAGAGCCTGCTGTGTGAGCTGCAGTCCATGCTGGTATGGCAGAGAGAGAGAGAGAGAGAGA